CCACGATATATCTATAAACCACAAAGTACCAAAACAAGCAGTAACCTAACGTAGCCGTAATTGAGTATCGATATCTTGTCAAGCGTACGGTTGTTTTATCCGACAAGGAAAGCATAAACAGTTTCCCGGGTCACAAAAAGATTATAATAGACATGGTTGTGCAACCTTTCCTAACTAACTTGATACGGAAAATGTAATTATATATATATTTTTTTAATAATAAGTACTATGGTCTGTCGTTTTAAAACTGTTTTTTTTAACTAAGTTTTTGAAACAAGAAATTTTAATGGAAATTAGTTAATAGTCAAAGTTCAAAGTCATAAATAAGTGTTCCGTGTAAAATTGTTTTCGAAAATCTAGTTTGTTCATAATTCTTTTATGTAATAAACGTATTTAAATAAATTCGGACCTTCCCTTATCTGATCACTAGCATGGCTTAAGAAATCCCAGAGGTATTGTGAGGTGACACGTCCAGGTATTCAAGCGATTTCCTGTCTGGCTTTAAAACTCTTATTACACAATTACGTAAAGCAAGTTCGTGCATCACTTCACTTCTGAGGGTATTGATCAGTGTACACGGCCGATAACTTGTAACTTTCCATTTTGAAACTATCAGGTGTAATATACATCTTTGTCTTGCGTGTTCGATAGTGATATACTAGTCATTACTAAACTCATACGCTTGTTTATAAATAACCTGTCTGGTGTAAAGAATGATATTTATGAAAATCTAAATAATTCCAAAAAAAAAAGATTTGATAAAATAAAAAATCTATTTACATATTTTCCAAGGGTAAATTGGGGAAAATGTAAGTATAATTATACTCGTTGTCAATAAGTATTGACATCTTGAAACATACAAATATTGATTTAACAAAATGTACGCACTTGTCGATCATTGGTTTATACGCCTAGATAGAAGGTTACGGAACTATAGATAGTCGCAATTTAGAATATATACATGTAAATTGAATATACGAGAGAAACATCCAGAACCAATCTGATTTAAATACAGTTCGATATATTACTTGCTTTGGTTCATCGAAGTTATGGACATAGTAAAATCACAGATTTATTTTTCAATAAGATTATTTTGAACAGTTTAAGAAATTCGTCATCATCACAATTGTTGGGTATAATGTATAATAATGTGAACATGGTTCTAAAAGTACCTGATGTCAATTTTCCTGTTCCGACATGCATGTAATATATATGCCACTGGACGTACACTAATGATTACCCAAAAAGCCTATTTGAAGAAATAAAGAAACTTCACTGCGGATAGACTGATAGTAGTTGTATTAACGTCTGGTCAGCTAGAGGGTTGATTAATTTATTTAGTTAGCTTGTGGTGGTAATAAACCATTCCCAATATTGCACTTATGCATAAAATATCAAATGAGAGTAATATAAGAGAAAATATAAATACGAAAAGTCGCATATCTGGTACAAAAAGTCTCACCATGAACTATAGGATTTTACGTACGATTGTCATTCTTAATCGAAATAACGGACAGTCATTTAAATACATGCATGTACGCTGTGATAAAAAGGGATGTCGCAGTTGCAAAGTATTCATCATAAATCTATTTCAAGTTTATACTTTCCTGTTATTTTTATAAGTTAACGCAGAGACATGTATACATCTCTAGCTAACGACAATCAACTATATAAATATCTGAATCTGATGTGATTTACCGTTCATGTCTTTCTTTTTCTCCTTTTTTGTTATTTTGGCAGGAATATATACATTGTAAGATATACTGTTCCCAGGTTTGGGGAGGGGGTTGGAGTTCATGTCTATCGAAAGTTACAAAATAAGAACGGTGTATTTATGAATTTACAAGAAGAATTCTGTTCTTGGGCGTAGTTTTCTTCTTTTTTTTTAGTTCAGTGATTTAAATTGAGAAAAAAAAAATCTAATCAGAATTTAAATTAAATCGTTCCGGCAATCCCCCACCTAAGACGCCTCTAAAATAATGAATGGTCATGCTTCACAATCATCAGAATTTTCGTTGCATTGGTATATTCTGTATCAGTAGTGATTAACCTTGACATTTCCGGGTATAACAGAGCTACTTGTATTACCTGTATGTGGTTAGGTGATCTTAGGTGACGTCCCATGAGGTCTTACGTATACAGGTTCACATTTATAATGGTTTCTGATATAACAATTACGTTTTATGACATTCACACTTCTGCATGTTCTGTATACCAAATTCTTATCTTTTTTTCAGACCGAATGAGGATGTGAATATTTTCCAGGAAAAATATTGAGTATCAAATTAATTTCGGAATTTTTTTCTTTCTTGGTATTAAATCACAGAAATTTAAAGAATATACTGCTTGTCCGTTTTATGAGTTTTCTTGTCAGTTTAAACAGACGTATATATGTCTCTGGTTTAGAGTGGGTTTATGAATGAATGATAAGTCTTGCAAAGGTACAAGATATAAAGCACATTGAAAATTGATTCCGCCGGTCTTTCTCCATTCAAAAAAGGAAAGTTGACGTTAGATTGATTCTGTTAATTTTTTAAAACATCGTTGGTCAAATAGCTAAAGAATTTATACGTTGTGAGATTTAGAATATTTTAATCAGGGCATTCCCGATTAGGTAAATGTAGATCGCTTTGGACGGACCAAACTATATTAATGTAACTGATAATTTTCTCTGCACATTTAAATAAATATTCAAGGTTACCGATGATAATTTGAAATAGTACAGTTTTGATTTATACGCTCGTTTTCGTGAGCCATTTTTATCTATAAAATTATTTAACTGAAAGTAATTCAGAATTTCGATTTTACAACAAAATGGTCACTTATTTATTAAAAAAATTGAGCTAACGCAAAATATTAAAAAATATAAAACGGCGATTCAGTTATTTTGCCACCATATTCCTCCCCAAATAATAAAAAAAATATCCTGTCTCAAACCCGCACTTCTGTTTTATCCTTTTCCCCCCCATGTTTTGCATACTTACAACGGTGAACCCTTGAGGCCACACAAAACTCTTGTGAAGATCAAAAGATTAAAATTACATAATGTTAATCTTTTAATAACCGTGAATTTAACCACGCCTTTACCAGGTGGTGTCAGTATAATACACATGCATTGTATTTACACAGTACTAGACTGAAGCAAGGATTTATATAGTAAGACAAATCCTCGACTGAAGTAATAGGTGAGAATACAAACATGCATTTTTATTACACTATCAGTTATATATGTTTGTTCAACATATCCGTCGGAAAAAAAATCATAAAAACATTCTATGGTGTGATTTACTTTTATTACTATAATCATATCAGAAATCCTTAAAATATAAAAGGTGCATTTTAATTTTAAAAGTTGCACGGCTGATCACTTTTCTTTCTGAATTATTAGTTGGTTAATAGCTACGCCAAAAGTCGTCGATGCGCTTTAAATCGCGTTATAAGATGATTAACGAACAAGACTTAAAATGAGATTAATCCACTCCCGGCATGCAAAAAGACTTAAACTACGTCACAGAAGTCAGGAAGTTCGAAAATAAATAAAATTAATAATTCCCAATTTTCTTCTTTATTAGTGTTCATATACAGATAAAACTTGGTGAATATGTTTTTTATGGTATTATGAACATAATAAGATGATAAGTAAAAAATCGCGAATTTTCCCTTTAAAGAATGAAAATTACAAATTTAATTCTGTTCCAGTTGTATTTCCAACATATTGAAGGGAGACAACACCATCTGTTATTTTAAAATGTACATTTGCAACGCTGGAGTTGTCTTTCTTTTACCAATGTATGAGCATACGAACTTTAAGTATCTAAAATACGGAACCGAGTTCGGAATGCGGGTTGGAAGTCTGGTCAATGGTAAAAGAAAATTGATTGCGTCATTTTCTAAAAATCAATCCTAACCTTCCTTTTGTGGTATTGAATCTTCTTGTAAAATTTCATAGAGATCCATTTACTTAAACTAATTAAAAGTTATTGTCCGGAAACCAAATATGTCTTCGGACGACGACGACGCAGACGACGACGACATCATAGCATTATACGAACACACAAAATTTTTTTGCGGTCGTTAAAAAATTGGAATGTGCTCGGTTTGAATACCTGAAACCTCGTGATTTATATTTCAAGTAAAGATCTATCTGAACCGTATTCATTAACGCTAAAAGAAGTTTCAACTTTTGAAAGGTCTCAGTTATCACTTGCTCGAATGTAGACGGTCTTTGGTTCCCAGACATGATCAAACCATAGAATTGAAAATTGGTATTTCCTCTTCTGCGCTAAGAGCGTGACATTAAGTAGTAACAAAGACTGGCTGACAAGAATTGAGAATATTGTTTCCGGGTAGGGTGATATTTCTTCCTGTGGACTGTTACTTTGAGAACTGACCCGGCTTCGGCGTGTCGAAGTACTACAAAGCAAGGTTCATATTCATATGAACTAAACATGTTTCTCGTCCTGATATGCATGTCATAGTTGATTTTAGATACAGTCCAATGATACTAGAGTGTATTTTTCTGTATATCTCCCCCCCCTAAAAAAATAAAATGCTTCGCTAGGCGCAGCTTGATACGACCGCAGAGGTCGAACCCTGAACAGTTGGGGCAAGTATGGACACAACATTCAAGCTTGATACAGCTCTGAATTTGGATTGTGATTAAATATTTGACACAGCATAGGTTTCTGACACAGAAAGAATGTGGTCTAAGAACTTGATTTTTTTTTAATTTACCTATTATGGTCCAATGTCCAAAATCAAAATACATGGTTAGATTCAGCATATCAAAGAATAAAATTGAGAATGGCAATGGGGAATGTGTCAAAGAGACAACAACCCGACCATAGAACAGACAACAGCAGAAGGTCACCAACAGGTCTCCAACGCAGCGAGAAACTCCCGCACCCGGAGGCGTCCCCCAGCCGGCCCCCAAACAAATATATATACTAGTTCAGTGACAATGAACGCCATACTAAACCCCATATATTCAATTTTTGTTGAAATCAAACAAAGTTTAATTTTGGACCCCAACTTGGACAAACTTGAAAACTGGGCCCATAATCAAAAATCTAAACACATGTTTAGATTCAGCATATCAAAAAACCCCAAGAATTCAATTTTTGTTAAAATCAAACTAAGTTTAATTTTGGACCCTTTGGACCTTAATGTAGACCAATTTAAATAAAATGCTTCGCTGGGCGCAGCTTGATACGACCGCAGAGGTCGAACCCTGAACAGTTGGGGCAAGTATGGACACAACATTCAAGCTTGATACAGCTCTGAATATGGATTGTGATTAAATATTTGACACAGCATAGGTTTCTGACACAGAAAGAATGTGGTCTTAGAACTTTAATTTTTTTAATTTACCTATTATGGTCCAATGTCCAAAATCAAAATACATGCTTATATTCAGCATATCAAAGAACCCCATATATTCAATTTTTGTTGAAATCAAACAAAGTTTAATTTTGGACCCCAACTTGGACAAACTTGAAAACTGGTCCCATAATCAAAAATCTAAACACATGTTTAGATTCAGCATATCAAAGTACCCCAAGAATTCAATTTTTGTTAAAATCAAACTTAGTTTAATTTTGGACCCTTTGGACCTTAATGTAGACCAATTTAAAAAACGGGACCCAAAATTAAAAATCTAAAAACACGGTTAGATTTGGCATATCAAAGAACCCCAATAATTCAATTTTTGATGAAATCAAACAAAGTTTAATTTTGGACCCTTTTGACCTCAATATGAACCAATTTGATAGCGGGCCCACAAATAAAAAATCTAAATACATGGTAAGATTCAGCATATCAAAGAACCCCATATATTCAATTTTTGTTGAAATCAAACAAAGTTTAATTTTGGACCCCAATTTGGACCAACTTGAAAACTGGGCCCATAATCAAAAATCTAAACACATGTTTAGATTCAGCATATCAAAAAACCCCATATATTCAATTTTTGTTAAAATCAAACAAAGTTTAATTTTGGACCCCAACTTGGACCAACTTGAAAACTGGGCCCATAATCAAAAATCTAAACACATGTTTAGATTCAGCATATCAAAGAACCCCAAAAATTCAATTTTTGTTAAAATCAAACTAAGTTTAATTTTGGACCCTTTGGACCTTAATGTAGACCAATTTAAAAAACGGGACCCAAAATTAAAAATCTAAATACACGGTTAGATTTGGCATATCAAAGAACCCCCAATAATTCAATTTTTGATGAAATCAAACAAAGTTTAATTTTGGACCCTTTTGACCTCAATATGAACCAATTTGATAGCGGGCCCAGAAATAAAAAATCTAAATACATGGTAAGATTCAGCTTATCAAAGAACCCCGTATATTTAATTTTTGTTGAAATCAAACAAAGTTTAATTTTGGACCCCAATTTGGACCAACTTGAAAACTGGGCCCGAAATCAAAAATCTAAATACATGTTTAGATTCAGCATATCAAAGAACCCCATCTATTCAATTTTTGTTGAAATCAAACAAAGTTTAATTTTGGACCCCAACTTGGACCAACTTGAAAACTGGGCCCATAATCAAAAATCTAATCACATGTTTAGATTCAGCATATCAAAGAACCCCAAAAATTCAATTTTTGTTAAAATCAAACTAAGTTTAATTTTGGACCCTTTGGACCTTAATGTAGACCAATTTAAAAAACGGGACCCAAAATTAAAAATCTAAATACACGGTTAGATTTGGCATATCAAAGAACCCCCAATAATTCAATTTTTGATGAAAATCAAACAAAGTTTAATTTTGGACCCTTTTGACCTCAATATGAACCAATTTGATAGCGGGCCCACAAATAAAAAATCTAAATACATGGTAAGATTCAGCATATGAAAGAACCCCATATATTCAATTTTTGTTGAAATCAAACAAAGTTTAATTTTGGACCCCGATTTGGACCAACTTGAAAACTGGGCCAAAAATCTAAAATCTAAATACATGTTTAGATTCAGCATATCAAAGAACCCCATATATTCAATTTTTGTTGAAATCAAACAAAGTTTAATTTTGGACCCCAACTTGGACCAACTTGAAAACTGGGCCCATAATCAAAATTCTAAACACATGTTTAGATTCAGCATATCAAAGAACCCCATATATTCAATTTTTGTTAAAATCAAACAAAGTTTAATTTTGGACCCCAACTTGGACCAACTTGAAAACTGGGCCCATAATCAAAAATCTAAACACATGTTTAGATTCAGCATATCAAAGAACCCCAAAAATTAAATTTTTGTTAAAATCAAACTAAGTTTAATTTTGGACCCTTTGGACCTTAATGTAGACCAATTTAAAAAACGGGACCCAAAATTAAAAATCTAAATACACGGTTAGATTTGGCATATCAAAGAACCCCAATAATTCAATTTTTGATGAAATCAAACAAAGTTTAATTTTGGACCCTTTTGACCTCAATATGAACCAATTTGATAGCGGGGTCCACAAATAAAAAATCTAAATACATGGTTAGATTCAGTATATCAAAGAACCCCATATATTCAATTTTTGTTGAAATCAAACAAAGTTTAATTTTGGACCCCAATTTGGACCAACTTGAAAACTGGGCCCGAAATCAAAAATCTAAATACATGTTTAGATTCAGCATATCAAAGAACCCCATATATTCAATTTTTGTTAAAATCAAACAAAGTTTAATGTTGGACCCTTTGGACCTTAATGTAGACCAATTTGAAAACTGGACCCGAAATTAAAAATCTAAATACACGGTTAGATTCGGCATAACAAATAAATAAATGTGGTCAAAGATTTTACAAATCTAATGCGCCATACTGGTCTTCCTTTATAAATATGCATTTCTTTAAACATAATTTAAAAGCAGTGTAAGGGAAGTAACCAAAACGTTGTATTTGGATTACCTCCCTTACACTGTTTTAAATTATCTTATTTGTTCATTAACCATTATTTTATACATAATTTAAAAGCAGTGTAAGGGAGATAATTTCAATGATGTATTTGATTTATCTCCCTTACACTGCTTTAAATTATGTTTTGTACTAAAGTATTTGTCCATTAATGAGGACAACCTTGTTTTTCCCCCTTTTTTGCCCCTAATTCTTAAACAGTTTGAGCAATAACCCCCCAAAGCAAATCCTAACCATCCCTTTGTGGTATGGAAACTTGTAGTATAATTTCAGAAAGATCCATACACCGTTCCACAGTTATTGTCTGGAAACTAGAAAATGCTTATTTTTGGCCCCTTTTTGGCCCCTAATTCCTTAACTGTTGGTACCATAACCCCCAAAATCAATCCCCACCTTCCTTTTGTGGTATTGAACCTTATGGTAAAATTTCTTAGAGATCCATTCACTTAAACTAAAGTTAGAGTGCGAAAACTAATGCGTCTTCGGACGACGACGCCGGACGACGACGACGACGACGACGACGACGACGACGCCAACGTCATACCAATATACGACCACAAAAATTTTTTTGCGGTCGTATAAAAACGGGACCCAAAATTTAAAATCTAAATACACGGTTAGATTTGGAATATCAAAGAACCCCAATAATTCAATTTTTGATGAAATCAAACAAAGTTTAATTTTGGACCCTTTTGACCTCAATATGAACCAATTTGATAGCGGGGCCCACAAATAAAAAATCTAAATACATGGTTAGATTCAGCATATCAAAGAACCCCATATATTCAATTTTTGTTGAAATCAAAAAAAGTTTAATTTTGGACCCCAACTTGGACAAACTTGAAAACTGGGCCCATAATCAAAAATCTAAACACATGTTTAGATTCAGCATATCAAAGAACCCAAAGAATTCAATTTTTGTTAAAATCAAACTAAGTTTAATTTTGGACCCTTTGGACCTTAATGTAGACTAATTTAAAAAAACGAGACGCAAAATTAAAAATCTAAAAACACGGTTAGATTTGGCATATCAAAGAACCCCACTAATTCAATTTTTGATGAAATCAAACAAAGTTTAATTTTGGACCCTATTGACCTCAATATGAACCAATATGATAGCGGGCCCATAAATAAAAAATCTAAATACATGATTAGATTCAGCATATCAAAGAACCCCATATATTCAATTTTTGTTGAAATCAAACAAAGTTTAATTTTGGACCCCAATTTGGGCCAACTTAAAAACTGGGCCCGAAATCAAAAATCTAAATACATGTTTAGATTCAGCATATCAAAGAACCCCATATATTCAATTTTTGTTGAAATCAAACAAAGTTTAATTTTGGACCCCAACTTTGACAAACTTGAAAACTGGGCCCATAATCAAAAATCTAAACACATGTTTAGATTAAGCATATCAAAGAACCCTAAGGATTCAATTTTTGTTAAAATCAAACTTAGTTTAATTTTGGACCCTTTGGACCTTAATGTAGACCAATTTAAAAAACAGGACCCAAAATTAAAAATCTAAATACACGGTTAGATTTGGCATATCAAAGAACCCCAATAATTCAATTTTTGATGAAATCAAACAAAGTTTAGTTTTGGACCCTTTTGACCTCAATCTGAACCAATTTTATAGCGGGGTCCACTAATAAAAAATGTAAATACATGGTTAGATTCAGCATATCAAAGAACCCCATATATTCAATTTTTGTTGAAATCAAACAAAGTTTAATTTTGGACCCCAATTTGGACCAACTTGAAAACTGGGCAAAAAATTAAAAATCTAAATACATGTTTAGATTCAGCATATCAAAGAACCCCATATATTCAATTTTTGTTAAAATCAAACAAAGTTTAATTTGGACCCTTTGGACCTTAATGTAGACCAATTTGAAAACTAGACCCAAAATTAAAAATCTAAATACACGGTTAGATTCGGCATAACAAATAAATAAATGTGGTCAAAGATTTTACAAATCTAATGCGCCATACTGTGCAATTAAAGATTACTTCTTGAAATTTTTCAATATTTGAAATTTGAAAAAAAAATAATATTTGAAGAATAATTCTTTTTAATTTCTGAAATCTGAAATGAGAAAAAATTGTCCTCATTTCTTTTTACCCCCCCCCCCCCCTTTTTCCCCCAAAAAATTCTTTCCCTCAAGATATGGTCATAATCTCAATTCAAATTTCCAATGGAGTTTGCAACCATAATTACCCATTTAATTTTACCATAGTGCTTACTTAATCTATTTTATAATAGAATTTAAAATATAGTGTCAAATCTTTCATATGGATTTTTTTGTAAAAAAAAAAGATGCAACATTTGCTGGTCTGCCTTTATAAATATGCATTTCTTTAAACATAATTTAAAAGCAGTGTAAGGGAAGTAACCAAAACGTTGTATTTGGATTACCTCCCTTACACTGTTTTAAATTATCTTATTTGTTCATTAACCATTATTTTATACATAATTTAAAAGCAGTGTAAGGGAGATAATTTCAATGATGTATTTGATTTATCTCCCTTACACTGCTTTAAATTATGTTTTGTACTAAAGTATTTGTCCATTAATGAGGACAACCTTGTTTTTCCCCCTTTTTTGCCCCTAATTCTTAAACAGTTTGAGCAATAACCCCCCAAAGCAAATCCTAACCATCCCTTTGTGGTATGGAAACTTGTAGTATAATTTCAGAAAGATCCATACACCGTTCCACAGTTATTGTCTGGAAACTAGAAAATGCTTATTTTTGGCCCCTTTTTGGCCCCTAATTCCTTAACTGTTGGTACCATAACCCCCAAAATCAATCCCCACCTTCCTTTTGTGGTATTGAACCTTATGGTAAAATTTCTTAGAGATCCATTCACTTAAACTAAAGTTAGAGTGCGAAAACTAATGCGTCTTCGGACGACGACGCCGGACGACGACGACGACGACGACGACGACGACGACGCCAACGTCATACCAATATACGACCACAAAAATTTTTTTGCGGTCGTATAAAAACGGGACCCAAAATTTAAAATCTAAATACACGGTTAGATTTGGAATATCAAAGAACCCCAATAATTCAATTTTTGATGAAATCAAACAAAGTTTAATTTTGGACCCTTTTGACCTCAATATGAACCAATTTGATAGCGGGGCCCACAAATAAAAAATCTAAATACATGGTTAGATTCAGCATATCAAAGAACCCCATATATTCAATTTTTGTTGAAATCAAAAAAAGTTTAATTTTGGACCCCAACTTGGACAAACTTGAAAACTGGGCCCATAATCAAAAATCTAAACACATGTTTAGATTCAGCATATCAAAGAACCCAAAGAATTCAACTTTTGTTAAAATCAAACTAAGTTTAATTTTGGACCCTTTGGACCTTAATGTAGACTAATTTAAAAAACGAGACGCAAAATTAAAAATCTAAAAACACGGTTAGATTTGGCATATCAAAGAACCCCACTAATTCAATTTTTGATGAAATCAAACAAAGTTTAATTTTGGACCCTTTTGACCTCAATATGAACCAATATGATAGCGGGCCCATAAATAAAAAATCTAAATACATGATTAGATTCAGCATATCAAAGAACCCCATATATTCAATTTTTGTTGAAATCAAACAAAGTTTAATTTTGGACCCCAATTTGGGCCAACTTAAAAACTGGGCCCGAAATCAAAAATCTAAATACATGTTTAGATTCAGCATATCAAAGAACCCCATATATTCAATTTTTGTTGAAATCAAACAAAGTTTAATTTTGGACCCCAACTTTGACAAACTTGAAAACTGGGCCCATAATCAAAAATCTAAACACATGTTTAGATTAAGCATATCAAAGAACCCTAAGGATTCAATTTTTGTTAAAATCAAACTTAGTTTAATTTTGGACCCTTTGGACCTTAATGTAGACCAATTTAAAAAACAGGACCCAAAATTAAAAATCTAAATACACGGTTAGATTTGGCATATCAAAGAACCCCAATAATTCAATTTTTGATGAAATCAAACAAAGTTTAGTTTTGGACCCTTTTGACCTCAATCTGAACCAATTTTATAGCGGGGTCCACTAATAAAAAATGTAAATACATGGTTAGATTCAGCATATCAAAGAACCCCATATATTCAATTTTTGTTGAAATCAAACAAAGTTTAATTTTGGACCCCAATTTGGACCAACTTGAAAACTGGGCAAAAAATTAAAAATCTAAATACATGTTTAGATTCAGCATATCAAAGAACCCCATATATTCAATTTTTGTTAAAATCAAACAAAGTTTAATTTGGACCCTTTGGACCTTAATGTAGACCAATTTGAAAACTAGACCCAAAATTAAAAATCTAAATACACGGTTAGATTCGGCATAACAAATAAATAAATGTGGTCAAAGATTTTACAAATCTAATGCGCCATACTGTGCAATTAAAGATTACTTCTTGAAATTTTTCAATATTTGAAATTTGAAAAAAAAATAATATTTGAAGAATAATTCTTTTTAATTTCTGAAATCTGAAATGAGAAAAAATTGTCCTCATTTCTTTTTACCCCCCCCCCCCCCCCCCCCCCCCCTTTTTCCCCCAAAAAATTCTTTCCCTCAAGATATGGTCATAATCTCAATTCAAATTTCCAATGGAGTTTGCAACCATAATTACCCATTTAAATTTACCATAGTGCTTACTTAATCTATTTTATAATAGAATTTAAAATATAGTGTCAAATCTTTCATATGGATTTTTTTGTAAAAAAAAAAGATGCAACATTTGCTGGTCTGCCTTTATAAATATGCATTTCTTTAAACATAATTTAAAAGCAGTGTAAGGGAAGTAACCAAAACGTTGTATTTGGATTACTTCCCTTACACTGTTTTAAATTATCTTAATTGTTCATTAACCATTACTTTATACATAATTTAAAAGCAGTGTAAGGGAGATAATTTCAATGATGTATTTGATTTATCTCCCTTACACTGCTTTAAATTATGTTTTGTACTAAAGTATTTGTCCATTAACCAGGACAACCTTGTTTTTCCCCCTTTTTTGCCCCTAATTCCTACACGGTTTGAGCCATAACCCCCCAAAGCAAATCCTAACCATCCCTTTGTGGTATGGAAACTTGTAGTATAATTTCAGAGAGATCCATACACCGTTCCACAGTTATTGCCTGGAAACTAGAAAATGCTTATTTTTGGCCCCTTTTTGGCCCCTAATTCCTTAACTGTTGGTACCATAACCCCCAAAATCAATCCCCACCTTCCTTTTGTGGTATTGAACCTTATGGTAAAATTTCAAAGAGATCCATTCACTTAAACTAAAGTCAGAGTGCGAAAACCAATGTGTCTTCGGACGACGACGACGACGACGACGACGCCGACGCCAACGTCATACCAATATACGACCGCAAAAATGTTTTGCGGTCGTATAAAAATTACATCCGATAATTCGAATCAATGAATAATCCTATAGTTATCAAATTATGTAAGTAAAGACATGTTTATACGCATAAAAATACTTAACTGTTCGGCAACCGCAATCTTTATTTTGTTTACAAAGAAAAAGTTTTAGTCAACCCAAGGTATAGGAAATTCTAAATACAAAATGTACCTATAACATGGTCATTAATATTGGACTAGAAATTAAATACACAATGTTACAGTTTATTTCAGTTTAAATACAGACACAGAACCTCCATTCTCTGTTACAACAAACAGCTGTTTATAGTCATTACTAAACGATATTGCCCATAAACTTCCGTACCCTTCAACACCTTCTATCAAAGTATCACATAATTTGCCTTCTAGAGAAATTCTCAAAAGCTGACCCTCCCTCGTGGCCAAGTAAATGTAACCTTGGTCATCTAGAGCGATCCCTCTTGGACGACCCGAAACAAATGGAAAACTCTGCATTGTGTTTCCATCAGAACATAGCAGTAAAAAGTCTGTTGTTGAATAATATAAATCATCTACTGAACCAGACGTTTTGGGCGCAATATACGTAACTGGACATCTACTTCGGTTTGTTTTCTCAGATCCTACGGATGACCCATTTGCACTTAAAATATATATCTGATTCCATGTTCCCGCTAATATATAGTTTCCCACTAAGGCAAGACCTAATGGTACGAAATCTAGCTTAATTTCTCGCAAACTTGTCATGGTGTTGATATCAATAAACTGTAAATGTCCTGAAACAGAAACTAAACTGGCAAAGTGTATATTTCCTGTGAGTGACACCACAGCATGATTAAGATCATGTAGAATGACAATATTCCATGGTTGTCTTTTAACATTGCATTTATCTAGATATTTACCCTCTGCGGAACAGAGTAAAACATAATAACTTTTGTGGTCACACAAAACAATCTTTCCATTTTTCGAAACAGCTATCCCTCGGATTTGTTCGTTGCCTGAACCAGTTAACTCAAGTCGCGAAGTGAATTCAAGTTTTTTGGCAATATCCTTGGTAGAATTATCATAAACGCTACCACTCGCTTGTGCACCATGGCGTGGAACAGTAATTAATTCATTCTCATTAGACTTAATTGTTGAACCAATCTCACCTATGATATTTTCAGAGCTCAATATATCTTTATTTGCTTCGAAGGATATGATTTGGCTGTGAAAAGTTAATCTTTTACTTTCAATCAAACTTTCGGTCTCGGATAATAATGATTTTAAATAATGTGCAAAAAGAAAAGTTTGTTCATTTGAATCAGTGCTTGAAAGTGCCTGGAGATTGGTTAAATAGGATTCGATTTTGGTTTTCTGATCTAGAGCCTGTTCTTGAATGCCTGTTACATTAGTCCGTTGTTTTGTACAAACTTCTTCAATGTCCGATTTAACTGATTGCTCAGCCTCATCCAATAAATCTATGATATGATTTTTATACGAAGAAACTTGTTCACTTATTTCTTTTCCTTGTCGATCTATCTCCTTACTTTCTTTTTCTGCCTTTTCCAATATATTGCCTAAGCAGTTGCGAAGATCGTCTGCCTGTTGTAACACATGGGCAACCATTGTAGACGACTTAACATCTTTCGCAACAACATCTACCGGGACTACTTTAGCACACGTTCTATGGTTTTCTGTCATACATAACCTACAGCAAAGTTCGTCATGATCGATACAAAATAAATCGAGCTTTTGCTCTTCGTGGGACAAACATTCTTGCACTTTAACCTTTGGCAGTGATTTAGCTGACAGAAGGTCGACCAGCACATGATTTCTCGACGCTTTACTTTTCCTGTGTGACCTTTCACACTCTGTACACAATGCTTCTTCACAGTTTGTACACCATTTTATAGCAGGGGAAGACAATTCCTCGGTTTGACATGGCTCACAGAATACTGATGACATTACTAGTGGTGTAAATTTTTTGCTATGGTAGTATAACCTACAAGAAAGTAATTATTGATTAGAACTTTTTCTCATACCTGTCGCACACCGAGCAGAATAAACTTACAATTCCAGGGCACAATAAGTTACTTCAGTTTAGTTGGAATTTCACCTCCGCATAAACAATAACCTTTGGTTTTTTTTTTTATGTGTACGTTTTTCCTTGTTTGTGCGCAAGTCCGTCTTAATGTTTCTTTTTAGCATGGGTTGGTGTATTATCTCCTAGTTTTCGATATTTCATTCCATTTAAACAGGTTTTGTCCCTCTTGTATTTGAAACCTAGTTATGTTTTTGATATTCATCTGCATAGGAGTTGTAATTATGAAAGAGGACGAAGTTAGTCCTTATTATTTTCATGATTCATTTTGGTAAGCAAATTAAACGAATTTGCGGGAAATCGTTAACTCCTTATATACATGTGTACCATTAATGGATACCAGTTAAGATACGACATTGCAAAGGTACATGCGTGATGGCAAAAATGGGTAACGAGTTGGTTGAGTAGAACAAGGAGGAGGAGAGGTTGTATCGAACGGTACGAAATGACTTGGGTCAACCAAAACGAGTTGAATGATTCACCAGTATATAGATTTTTGTATTTATTGATTGTTTCGACTGTAATGGGGGCTTTATTATATTAAATTATCTTACTTGAATGGAAGGTCCAACTTTACCTACAGTTTTGAATTTAAAACGGCCATCATGAAAATATACTGTAATAGTTTGAATCAAAGTTGCATTATATTTTGCGACAACATTACTTCAGCCTCGCTAAGATTCATATTTATCTTCTATTGGAATAGTCCTTTGACTTTTTGTTGCATGTCTTTTTTAAATTTTGTTTTTGCTGTATGGAAATGGATACACAATTGAAGATAGATGTAAAACTAAGTGATCAAATGCTAATGTTTTAGATGTTGGGTTTAAAAATTTAAATTAAATGGGGAAAATGTTAGAAAAATACCATATATATCTTATCAAGTGTTGTTGTCTTCAATGGAAACGGAGATCGCGTGCACAATATAGTGAGCTTATAAAGTGGGATGCTTTTTTTTATATAAAAATAAAAAAAATGTGGTTCAATTGCCAATGAGATAACTCTCCACCAGAGACCAAATGACATAGAAGTTAACAACTATCATGACTATAGGTTACCGTACCGTTTCAACAATGAGAAAAACCCATACCGCATAGTCAGCTATAAATGGCCCCGAAATGACAAATGTAAAACAATTCAAACAGAAAACTAACGACTTGATTTATGTAAAAAACAATGAACGAAATACAAATATGGTAAACATCAACCACTGAATTACAGGCTCCCGACTTTGGACAGGCACATACAGAATGTGGCGGGGTTAAACATGTTAGCGGGCGCCCAACCCACTCCCTAACCTGGGACAGTGGTGTAAACGCAGTACAACATATGTACAAACTATAAAAATCAGTCGAAAGGCTTAACTCATTAGATGGATACAAAGCAGAAAAATAAGTTACAAATATGTACGGATTTCTTGCACGGATTGTTTGTAATGAACTGATCGAGGATTAGATTAGGTTAGGAGGAGAGGGGATGGGAGGAAGGTTAAGTGTTTCACGAACTAATCAGTTTAACCTCGCACATGTCCAAAGTCGAAACTTTTTTAACGGTTATCTTCAATTATAATATCTGAATGTGTTTGTCCTTTATGGTAATTTAAGGAAGGTTTTCTATATTTGACCGTTTAAATGTAGAGTTCAAAGGTGTAATTTTTTTGGTTCTTCTTTTTCCCCTGTGTTCACTCTTTTGTCTTGATAAACATTGAAGATGGCCCAACATGAACATTAGTTTTGTCTCAATGTTCATTCATGCAGCGATGCTTCCATTAAGAAATTCATTTAGGGAGCTACCAATTGATTATTATGGCGGGGGGGGGGGGGGGGGGGGGAGGTGCTTGGATGAAAAACTTTGTCCTGCATTTTTTATTATTTGTAATCTCTGTTATGCCTTGTAATTTTTTCACTTTGTCATCCTGCCTTTTTTTTACTCAAAACTCCTGTCCTGCCTTTTTTTCAAATTTCATCCTAACCCCCCCCCCCCCCCCTTTTTTTCGCTGTTTGAAATATAAATGTTTTCTAAATAAAATCATCTTCATGAACCGGAAGCAGATCAAACCGTTCAAAGTTCATATATTATCTACACAATATCATACAGTTCAATCATGTAAAGAGGATTATAAGTGAATCTAGGACTTTATAGAAAACGACTTCGATTAAAACATACCTAATGTGTCTTCTTGTACATAATTCTGTCTCGAATCTACAAACACTGTGTCACATTCAGGTTTGGAAAGCGGTTATAATTATGCTGATGTATTACACGTATCATGTTTATTTTTAAACCACCCGTCAGTTTGTTTTGATCACATGGTACTTTATATCGATTATTTCTGTGTATTATTGTATATTCTGTTAGTTTTAACTGAACCGTTACAGTATGCAATTCAGCGTTTTATAAGGAATTTAAATTAAATTAAATATGTGTATAATACCGGTGTATTCAATGCGTGTTTCTGAAATAGCCTTCATTTATGAGGGTATGGAAAGGGGGAGGGGTGGTTCCTTCATTTCTGTATTCTTTATTTTTTTGCTCATTATTCTTAATCTTTAAAAATAATGGTTATTATGTAATTACTTGATAATTCTGGATATTGTTCTTTTTCTGTTGTCAGTATATTGTTATCCAATTCTTAAATTTTTGCAGTTATTCTTTATATTTTAACACCCCATTATTCTCTAGCTATTCTTAAAAATGTTTGCCCATTATTCTCTATTCTTTATTTGTTGTACCCATTATTCTCTTTTCTGTAAACCCCATCTAGACCCTCATTTATAGGCGTTAGACCCAAGTGAGGTAAGCAAAAGAAGATGGACTGGTTGTTGCTTGCAAGATAACGTCCAGTGGCAAATAGTTTATACATCTTAGAAGCCCAAGAAAGGACATGTATAACTTTCGACTTAAACAAAACAAACAAAACAAATGTTTAAGTTTTAAAATTGACTACTTTAATACAAAGATATAAGCATTCCAAAAACGTAAAACCTATGATTTTTTATTTCAAATTATAGTATGTATTTCCGAACATATTACGTTTAACTATAAAACGGACATATAACTTGATACAATTGAAATCATGAATATTATTGTATTTTGTTTTTATTTTCCAACTCTTTTTGACAAAGGACTATCAGATCAGATCCAAAACACTGCTTTTCTAATTTTTGATGTAGAGGTTTCTTTTTAAAATACATACGTGTAGCTTTGTATTTTCGTCCTTGTATTCTTTTCTAAAAAGTTAATATAATTAAATATGTATGATGTTATATATAATTACAAGTCAAAAAACTTAATTTGAATATATTATTCATTAGTTCGTTTTTCACCTTTTTTTTTTTTTTTGAATTCCGCAATAAGCTTGATTTTTATGGTATTTTACGGTTTCAAAGAGAACTAAAATCACACTCATACATGGTACATACAGTTTTGTTTTAGTTCTTAAGTGGATTCGGTCCGGATTTGATTTTTTCCCTTCCTTTTTTTTAATTCAACATGAATTTGTAAGAGGAAATTCTGAAGAAAAAAACGTTTGTACATGAGGCAAATATGTTTAAAATGTTGAATTAATCTTGGATTTTGCATGACTTTAACAGTTTGTAGACTCTAATAAAAACCGTGGATATGGAATCAAAATACTGTTAATGAAATATAATGTATCCTTCCAGCACACTGTAATAGTCTATCAGAACAAAACAACCCAAGGAATTGAAATATAATTTATCGCACCGCCGGGTAAATTATCACGTTGTGATTGGTTTAACGCCGTCACGTGGTGACCCCCTATGGATCCGTGGGGGGTTAGTATTTCATAGGGGGTTCATGACGTCACGTCTACTGTTAATAGTGACGTCATCTATTAATGTTGTTGTGTTTTATTGTTTATTTCTCTACAAAACACAGCGGAAAAAAGTCTCGCGGGCGATAAATTCGTTATACGGTTAACTACTGACCCCCTACGGACCATAGAGGGTGAATAAAATCCATAGGAGATTCGGCCTTCGGCCTCACCCCCTATGAATTTTACTAACCCTCTATGGATCCGTAGGGGGTCAGTAGCGAACCATATAACTTATAGTATCCTTCCAGCACACTGTAATAGTCTATCAGAACAAAACAACCCAAGGAATTGAAATATAATGTATCCTTCCAGCACACTGGTATAGTCTATCAGAACAAAACAACCCAAGGCATTGAAATATAATGTATCCTTCCAGCACACTGTAATAGTCTATCAGAACAAAACAACCCAAGGAATTGAAATGTTTAAAATAAAGCAATCAATAAGCTCGTAATTTTTTTCAATATTGATGTTTGAGAGGAGGAATAAATTCCTTAAAACTGTGAGAGTCCTATACTGAAGCCTGAGTTACAGGAAACAAGTGATGGTAGGGACTCATTTTATGTTTTTTTCATTAATGCCCTCTGGGGAAACTGTCATTTACTTTCTTATCCAAAAACTTTCCCGAGCAAGTCTGTCGGCCCTTTTGAGATCAGCTTGGGCGTGCCAAGGTGATCTCAAATGACGACTTACGAGGGTCGGGCTTGCAGGTGTAGTCACTTCGATGACCATGAAGAATAGTCATCGAAGTGACTACACCTGCAAGCCCGATCCCCCCGTAACTGGGCACGATGGTCATCGAAGTGACTACACCTGTAAGCCCGACCTCCCGGTTTGTGGCCTCTAATATGTTGGTGATTCAAAGCAACCTTTTCACAGACGCCTCAATGGCCATAGGAGTAAAAATCCTAGTGATTGAACAGAACATTCACTGAAGTGATGCCCAGCGACAGGTTTGAGAAAGCTTTTGGATAAAGGAACTAAATGTACTTCATACAAACGGCATCAATAAGAAATACTAGCAGTTTTATAGAGGGACTCCTCTGTCATTTTACCCAGTTTTACAATTTGGGATGTATATATACACAGGCACGTCTATCGAGTTTTGAGTTTTGTTTTATTTGATGAGGTTCAAGATTTGGGACTAAATCAATAGACCAAAACGTACCTGTATTATTGAGCTATTTTACACAAACAATTAGCATTGTTAAATTATTGACACTGACGAAGGCTAGTTGTTAAGCCGAAATATTTGTCAGCACGATTTTATAACATCATCTTCGTATATTACTATCTTATATTAGTATCGTTGTGCAAATCTTTAGACTTATATAATTTTTTCCTTATTTGCGCAATATCGTCTATTCTAGACGATCCGGTACATATTAAATTTGCTGGTTGGTCCTTTTAGTAGACTTCTATATATATATTTTTTTTCGTTTGGGCTTATATTATATTTGCCTTCGGGTTTATATGATCCGTTCATCCTTTTTTGACTCTTTCAAAATTCAAGAGCCTATCCTAAATTGAGGTAAATAATATGGCCTTCCAAATACCGTTTCGATTCCTAACATCATAATAAATTAATAATAATATCTATTTTGTTACATCTTGTGATCCGTTTATTGGGCAATCGCCAATGGCAGTCAGCAGGGTTTAAGAACATCAGTTGTTCGACCTGCTAGTCAAATGCAATTTGTTAAAATATACCTTTTTCACTCATTTGGTCTTTTGGAAAATGTTGTTTATGCTGTACTTAGACCCCTCAACCAAGAAATTTGTTTTGCATGCACACGTATAAAAATTGCGGTTTTTATCCAACGCAATCATAGGTTTGAACGTCGTTTTCAATTTAGACTTGTTTATATATATATATATATATATTGCTTTTGAAGACAATTTTAATGCAATATTGAAATTGTAGAATCCGATGATCGTATGCTTTGCTTGCATTAACCGTCAAACGATTAAACAATCACCGCCAATAGTAATTATAAAGCCAGAATAAAGACAAAACCTGTAATAATATCATGTATTAAGTGGATATTTGGAATCTACGACAGAGTGAAATGTCACTATTGATTTGAGAAACAAACGCTTTAACAGTCAATTTATTCAGTGAACAAACAAAAAAATCTACATTTATGATGCTGACGACGAATTGGAGCTTGACAACCAGTAGGAAATATATCATGCATATCTGGACGAGAAAACATTAATTTGATAAGCATATGAACTTTCTTTGTACTGTACTGACCGAAACGTTAAGTCGGATTTCAACTTGCTAACTCACAAGACAACAGTCCACAGGAAGACATGTCATCCTTCTTCTTGGATTCAAGGGCGATAGTTTTGCTCGGACTCCTAAATGCAGCTTGATAGGGAGAGAAGCAGCAATTACCAATTTTCAATTTTTTGGTTTTAACTGGCTGGGGATCGAACCCACGACTCCCGCATTTGAGGCAAACACGTTGCCATGAGACCACCGAGGCGGTTCCAAAACTGAAGGACAATATTGCTAATAAAATAAATGTTTAAAAAATTACGGGTTGACTGTTGATATCGTTTGCCTTAAAACAACTGAAAGCTGACATGACTTTTATTATGTATTTTTGAAAATTAAAAGAGAGGCCTTATTTTTTAAGCACGAGATTAGGATAATATATAGATTACAATTATTGTAAAATACAAGTCAGAAAGAAATCTGATTTCAAGATAACAATGGCGAAGAAACAAGGATTTTAGATTTTAGAAACGTAAGCAGCGTCACTCATGCGGCTATCCAGTCTCTATTTCCTCCCAATCTATAAATTAGTCATGGTAATAGAGTGTCGGTACAAGTCGAACTAATTATTCGTATCAAACATATTTTTTAGTTGAGCGTTTCTTTGTCTACACCGTTAGTTAGTTTCTGTTGTAGCAAATGTCTTCGCACAAAATATCCTATTACTGATGCTGAAATTACAACTACAGCTATACCGGCAGCAGCAGTTCCCCATACCCATATGCATACAGCTGCAAAAGGAAATAGATCATTAATACAATGTAACCCAACTTCATGATTTTAACGCAAGCTTAATAATATATTTTAATTGTGAAAGAAAAAAGCCACAAGTGAAAAATGTGAAAGAAAATAGCACACAAGTGAAAAAAAAAAACAAAAAAAACAACGGTTTGTGTAGCATTACTGTAATTTTGATTACAAATGAAAGATTGCAAGTTTTCAAAAAAGGAAATAACCTGAATTTTGTGTTTGTTATAATTAGAATTTCTCAGGGGTTGATGCCCTTGACAATTTTGTATATCAGCCTTTTTAGATCATGAGTATACAATCATGTACCACGTGTCCGTTATTCAAAAAATACGAGTCGTGCCAACTGAAATCATATCATATTTCTCATTATCCGTACTCCTTGTATAATGGACCTTTTTTAGAAATTATATTTCCGTTCATAATT